GGGGGGGGGGGGTTTCTCCTGCCCTATCTTACTCTCCCAACTCCCTCTTGGGAACAGCTTTCACATAAGCGACCTGTGCTCAACCCTTGTCTCAGGCTCTGCTTTCAGGGCACCTGAAATGACATCTGTGGAACCAGGGGCTCTGCATTTCCTGTGCACATCAGGCTTTCCTGACACAGAGGTCCCAGGAACCATATATTAAAGAACAGGCAGTGAAAAACAAGAACAATTTTGGAAAGGGGAGTGACTGGGCCAGACCTGCTCTTGTAGAGAACAAACTCTGGCAATGTGAAGTTGAGGTTGAAGGCAGCAAGAGACAGGAAGCAGGGAGACCAATTAGCAGGCTATTACCAATGTCCCAGCAGGGAGCAGCGGTGAGAAGGCAGCAATTGGGGCCGTCTCTTTGTGAAAGTCCTTTGATTTATAAAGTATGTAACAGTTCACACAGAAATGACACCAGCCTTATTTAACATCCCCGGTGCTATGGTTTTTTTAAAGCTTGCGTTTCCAGCATTCCACATTTTTCTTTTTGATCTTCCGCTTCCAAAATGTGATACGTCAGCCTGGTGCCACACAGCTTCATTTTGTTAAATTTTGTGTTTTCAGGATCTTGACATTGGTGCCAAGCACATGAAGCTTTATGTCAATAAAAAGCTCATCTTTGATGGCACGTTGGACAAAGGAGGTGGAGAGGGCCCAGCTGACCTGAGCGTCCTGGTTGGCCAGAAAAACAAGAAGGAGGAAAGAATGGAGAGGACCGTGGGTGCCCCCTCGGGAGAAGGCGGAGATGCCTGCAAGATGGCTGGCACAGATGGGGCCCACTCACAGCCAGCTGGAGCAGCGGTAGATGTGAAGGTTTCTTCCCAAGGAAAGTTATTTGGCGAAAAGATGAATCCTCCCAATTGCACGAAAGACAATTCGTCCAAGTTAAACGAAGACACGAGCTTATTAGCAGCCCCAGCCCCGATGCCGGCCTCGATGGGTGGCGTGCCCCGTCCTCCTCCCCTCCGCCCGGCTGCGGAATGCCCTGCCCTGGACCCAGAGCCCTCTCTGATCCAACAGCTGGAAAACCTCACGGGCAGAAAAGTCTCCGAGCCACCAGCAAAAACTCCCTCCTGGTTGCAACCTTCTGCCGCGGGGAAGGGCAGGAAGCAGGGAGGCAGGAAGCCAAAACCTCTATGGCTGAGTCCCGAGAAGCCACTGGACCGGGAAGGCGGGCTTCCGTCTGATGACGTCATTGGCGCCAGGGGTGAGGGTCCTAGAGAGGCTGAGATCGGGGATAAAGGCCCCAGGCGTGAGCAAGGGCGAGCAAGCAGCTGGAATGTCATCGCTGGGGAGAGAGCCCAGAAGGTGACCCCCAACGTCTGTGATGACTTTGACATCTTTAACCAGCCCTCCAACAGAGAGCGCCCTGCTAGTGGGAGGAGGGGCCCGAGGAAGGACGCCCTCAGCAGCGGTCACAGTGATGGCCAGCCAACCAGCAGAGGTAAGCTCGAGAAGCGGTCTGACCCGGGTGCCATTGTCCCCATGATACCATTTTGCTCCATGGACCCCAGATAAGGGCCTCCTCATCTGCAAAGCAAGGGGTTTCGGAGGGACAGAGAGAGAGAGAGAGAGAGAGAGAGAGAGAGATTGAGAGACAGAATCAGAAGCAGGCTCCAGGCTCCGAGCTGTCTGCACAGAGCCCGACCCGGGGCTCGAACTCACAGACCTGCGAGATCATGACCTGAGCAGAAGTCAGACGCTCAACTGACTGAGCCACCCAGGCGCCCCTCCCTTCTCCTTTTGTGAAGAGAAATCAGAGACGTACAATATTATTTTTCAACATTGGCAACTGATTGATATTATTTTTAAACCACTAGGTGGGTCAAAAAAAAAAAAAAATCTCCTGGGAGGACTCACCTGTTTTGTCAACTTTGCAGTAGATTATACGTGAGCAGTCTGAAAGGAGGGTGCCGAAGACTGGGTTTCTGACTATTTGCACTCAGATCTGGCTACTGGGAAGGCGGGCATAACAGCTACGAGTCGAACCATTTGAATCCAGCCGCTGCGACTTTGAGCTCTGGTACCTCTGGGCTGGGACTTACAGAGCCTGGCATGTCCACTTTCTGAGCCTCAGTGTCCTCATCTGTAAAATGGCACCAGTAACACCCATCCCCGTGGGAGGATAAAATGAGGTCATACGTGTGCAGCGTCGGGCACAAAAAAGCACCCGGAAGGTGTGAGCTGTTGCTCTTCATCACCGTCACCCCCGCCCCCGGGATTCTGCCTCCTGGTGTATCTGTGTGCAAAGCCAGGGAATCTATTTCCTAGCGAATCAGGTCAGCATGTCTGTTACTACTGTCCAGAAGACAGACCCCGGGGCCCCTGGGTGGCTCTGTCAGTTCAGCTTTGGACTCTTGCTTTCAGCTCAGGTCACCATCTCATGGTTCGTGGGATTGAGTCTCTGGGATTCTCTCTCTTCCTCTCTCTCTGCCCCTCCTCCACTCGCTCTCTCAAATACACTTAAAAAACAACAACAACAACAACAACACCCCAAAGGTCTGCATTCAGCCCACGTCCACACTCAGACATGCAGAGAATCGGTGGCCTCTTTCAGACCCCCGATGTCACCTGGGGCACCCAGGCAGGTCCCTCGGACTCAAGGTGCCTTTCCATGTGGGCGAAGGGCTCCCTTCTTCCAGAGCTCCTCCCCCCACCCCCACCTGGAGTTAACCCTGAGACTGGGTGAAAGGGAGGAGAGCAGAGCAGACGTGGGGGTGCTCTTTGAGGGTAGGGGCCCCGGGGGCCTGACACATGGTGGGTCCTCTGCAGTGGGGGAGGGGAACTGCTGTGGCTGGATGCCTGGCGTGTGTGTGTGTGTGTGTGTGTGTGTGTGTGTGTGTGTGTGTTAAGCTGGGCTCTCGTCCAGGCACGTTACTCAAATGATCCTCATTTTCTCCTCACGCCAGCCCCATTTTACAGCTAAAGAAAATGTGAGGTTTAGGTAACTCTCCTCAGGTCACGCAGCCAGGGAGGGTTGGAGCGGGATTTGAACCCAGGCCAGCCTGCTCCAGCATCCGTGCCTCAAACTACCACCCCTTTGGTGCCCCACCTCCGCAGCGCCCCCGGCCGGGGAGAGCCGGGCACTGCGGAGCCTTCCTGGTAAGACAGACCCCGCACAACCTCTGGGAGCTCCGAGGTGACGGGTGTTATTCTGACTTGTCCACGTTCAGAAGATTCTTCTCTCATTTTAATTTCTTTCCAGGCATTTCACTGCTTGGCTCAATGACACGTTAAGAACCGGGCCCTTGAGATTTAATGCTTGTTAAGCCAGTCATGCTAAAAAGGAAAGTTGCTTAGAAATTTTAAATTACCCATTACGTAGAGCCAAATCCCACAGCCGTGCCCTTCAGGAAAGGCGCAAGGCAGAGCCCTCCAACGACGCTTGTAGAATGGATGACCGCCTGAGTTCTTCCCTGGGACTGGACTCATGGTGTCACCGAAAGACAGAGCTTGGAAATCCTTTTGTCTGACAGGGCCTCTCATTATAATGGCATCCACATCTTGGAAGGGTCCGCATCAGGGGTCCATTGGCTATGGGGGAACGAAATCACATCTGCCCGGTGGGAGCACTGACCCTCCGGAAAGCCTGCGTGCACCCAGGAGACGTGGCCGCGACTCCCCGGGGCTGCCGGGCCCTGCCTCTGCCACGTTCCCTCACTCTTCCTCATGAGGTCAGCTGCCCCTGCTCTTTCCTGGGGGTGGACAACGGCCTCACCGCCGGGGAGCAACGGTTTCCGGCTGTGGCTCCCAAAGTCTCACGGGAGCTGCTGATTGGTCGACTTGGGTCAGGTGACCACTCTTGGCCCAATCGGCTGTGGCTGGAGGCTGTTCACCTTGAACACGTATGGCTCTGTGGTGTCTACGTTCGTTTTCATTTCCCGTTTTAGTAACAATCAGCCCATACCCCACGGGGGTGCCCCTAAGCTCGGGTTTAGAACTCCGTGCTCCATGTTTACGTCCCTCCGCCAAGAGGTAGTTTTAAACCTTAAATCCGCCATCTCATACGGGTACCCACCCCCCCAAGACTGTGTCGACTGCACGTGAAAGCAGCCGCAGCAGCTTTGTGGTGTCCGTTCGGGGCTGTGGGCGGGCAGGTTGACAACGACAAAGCGCGGATCACCGCAGCTCCCCAACTCCCGGGGAGCAGTGACTGCGTGTTCTCCAGACAGAGGGAAACGTGGGCCAGCCTGCTGTCACATCCGAGAGGTCCAGGTGAAGGCCCGCACGTCTCTGCGTTCGAAACCCAGAGCGTACATCTCGAGGAGAGTAAGTCGGGAACGCAGACGCAGAGGGCAGAGTCCTGCCTTTCTTGGCCACCCAGGCCGAGTCCCTGACACATGACGTCCGTTCTCTCTCCTCCGCGCACTTGCAGACCAACCCCCAGGCCATTCATTTCAGTCAGTGGAAATCAAATCACAATAAACTGATGTCATGACGATCCATATGGGAAGTTCCTTCTGCCAGATGTTAAGCCTCGCGCCTGGAGGAAAAGAAGGAAGAAACTCCTAGGGTCTTTTTTGATGGCAGATGATGAGGGGAGAGGACAGGTGCAGGAGAGCTGACAGGTGGAAGCCCGGGGCGGAGTGGGGGGGGGAGGGGGGTCCCTCGGCTCCGGGCCTGAACCCAGGGGTTGCATGACGGTGACACCAGCCAGCCGTCCCTGTGCTGGCAAACATGAACTGAGCACTTACGTGCGCCAAGGTCTATGGGACACACCCGGGGAACGGGGCAAAGGAGGAGGCGGGGACAAGATGGGCAGGCACGTGGGGATCCGGGAGAAGAGCATTCCTGGGAGAGGACACTGCAAGGATACGCAGGAAGAGACTTGGGGTGTCCATGGAACAGAAAGGCCGGCACAGTGGAGCTGATCGTCAGGGAGGAAGGTATGAGGCGTGGCGGCATGGTGAGGAGTCAGATGCTTCCCAGCAAGGTAGAGACAGTGGCAGTTGGGGGGTTTGGTGACAAATTCCCTTTGAGGCACACGGAGTTTGGAGTGACAGAATGGACATGTCTCGGCCTTCCAAGGAGTCTTTGGAACTGGATGGTGGTGGCCGGGGGAGACAAGCCAGAACTTGATGCAGAAAATCGAGCAGTGCCTGCCTGGCAGCCAGGAGCTGGCTGGGTGAGGCCAGAGAGGAGGACCGGAGGGGGCCGAGGCCTGGGGCAGGGCAAGGGCGTGGGGAGGCTGACAGCAGCAGAAACAGCAGCGGAGAGCCCGAAGTGCCAACGCTCCTGAGCAGGCGAGGAGGGACCGCCAAGTGGAGGAGCTGTGTCTGGGATGTGGGGCATGAGGACTGAGGAGAGATCGAGTGCACGGAGTCATCGTGTACGTGCAGAAAGTCAGCGCAGGGGAGGGTCGTGGGAATTATAGGACTCCTATGGAGGCAAGGGACAGAAAGCCACCAGGGGTTTGGCTTCAGGCATGGCTGGATCCAGGGGCTCAGATGATGCCATTGGGGCTCTCCATCTCCTGGCTCACGTCCCCGGTGTTGGCTTCGTTGTCAGGCAGCCCCCCCTCTCCCACAGTGCAGCAAGCTGGCCAGCGGCACTGCACGCTCACGTCCGATATCCTGCAGCAGACGGGAGCCACTTTAAATTTTTTTTAATGTTTATTTTATTTTTGACGTTGAGACAGAGCATGGGCGGGGGAGGGGCAGAGAGAGAGGGAGACACGGAATCCGAAGCCGGCTCCAGGCTCCGAGCTGCCAGCACAGAGCCCGACGCGGGGCTCAAACCCACGAACTGTGAGATCATGACCTGAGCCGAAGTCGGACGCTCAACCGACTGAGCCACCCAGGTGCCCCAGAGGAGAGCCACTTCAAAGTGAGCCCCCCTCTCTCCATAGTTCCCTTCCCAGCCTAGAAGGGCACCGTCGGGATTTGCCTCATCTGGATGGTCTGAAGGCGGGGTGATCCCCAAAGGAAAACCAGGAGAAGGGCAAGCGGGGTTTGGGTGAGCCCAACAGCAACTCCACAAAGAGGCCCCAGCTTGCAGGGCTTGAGGGAGAAAGAACACAGTGGCCGCAGCAAAGGGAAGGAGAAAATGGGGGGGGGG